TTGCTACTGCTGGAGGTGGGATTCTGGGCTAGTTGAATCCTGGTTTGTCCTGGTGGGACTGTTCCTTCATGCTTCAGTTCTGATGTTATCTGTTGAAGTGTATTGAATACTGAAACTGCAAGAATGGCAACACTGTTCAGGGCAAAGAACCACAGCATCTAGGAGATAGCAGTAGTGGAAGGATTAGCTAGCTACCTTTTGGCATCCTAATTTGGTGAGCGGAAGGTAACTGGATCCCTTATTTTGGTACCGTGTTAGTGATATGGTTCTAGCTTATATCCTAAGCAAGGGTATTTTTATTTGTGCATGTCTTCTTTCTAGGTATGACTGCCTGTGAAGCTATGTCAGTCTTTGGAACTTGTACTAGTAAGGCTCTATAAAAGCTGACTTGTGTGCTCATGAATGTCTGCAATTAGACTGCAACTTCATGTCTGTTAAACCATGCTTTGAAAAAGAGAAATCCCACTTTGTGCTTCCTGCTTGTCTTGCTGAAGAAAACTAAACCCTTGTAAATAATTGTTACCAATGTATTAGGGAGGAAAATGGGTGGTGGTGGTGGGTGGTTTTATTGTTACTTTAAAGATGAAAGCTTCTGTAGTCTTGTGAAAATTAACCTTGTATGTTGACACTGACTGTGCTTGTATTCCTAAAGTTGAGCATCTCTGTGAGATGGCTTGTTACATGCATTTGTGTTGATGGTTCTGGTTGGAATGCTTTGGAGCTGTGCTGTGAGCCTTAGCTTTGTATTGGTAACTTTTTGTTACTTGAAACTGACCAGTTCTGCCATTCTGAGGAATTCTAGTAAGCTGTCAACATTTACAGCTTGTCCCAACAGTAACATGTGTAAATTAGTTACTTCTAAGGGTCATTAGTAGTCTTTTCAGTTAACCAGAACAATATTTGCATGCTGCTTTGATTTCTTTTGCAGGCTTTTTGGTAATCTTATCGTCTTGTTCTTGATTAACTAGCATTTAAGTAAGATCAGTTATTAAAAATGGAATTTAAATTGCATATCCCTTCCTGTTCTGCAATCAAGTTTCATGTGAAGATGATGACCCTTAGTATGTTTACCTTTTGTTTCCTTCCAGATCTGGCCAAAGAATCCTATTATCATTACACCTTACCAGGAATAAAGCTCTTCTCCCAGTGTATCAAACTTTCATGCAAAATGTTTAGCTATTATAGTATTTCAGGCGAGTTGGTACAGTTACCTTTGTCAAGTTTTTGAGGTTTTTCTTCCATGAGAATACTCTTGCTTTTTTATCCTGCAGCTAGTATTCATGTGTGGCCAAGTAAAACTGCCATGCTTCTCTCAGTTTTGGTGCTGTCTGGGGAGTTCTAATGGATAATGAAATTGCCATGTCCAGGTAGTTTGTTGCATCCCTCCTTTTTTGAGGGCAGTGGATGTGGTTGTTGGTTGGTTGGCTAACCACGAGAGAAGAGCCCCTGGGACATCAGTCAGGAGATTCCTGTTTTAGAAAATGCTCTTGATAGTTTTTAGCTTTATAGTATAAGTAGATGAGAACTTGTTCTTTGAAGGTCATAAAAACATGAGCTTGATAGACTACTTTCAAGGCTGGTAATTGTTGCTCTATGGTAGAGGTCTTGAACCCTTTTTGAGGAGGAGCCTGGGAAGTATGATAGCTTCACATAAGAAACTCAGTAATTAGTTACTAAATTAATGCTTAGTTTGGTAGAACAAGAACTTGTTACCTTAAAACTATACTTATCTATTGTATGAACTCTCAGGAAACCTTTTGAACCAATAATGTTGACGTAATATATTGAAATACCTTAAATGTGGTGGAGTAGATGAAAACTTTAACATCTGTGGCTGGAGCAAGTGGGAGGATTTGCTAAGAGCTTAGATCCTGGACAAAAGAGAGGGTGGATTCAGAACAGAGGAATTACTGAAGTAGTTAAGGAGTGGCCTTATTAACTCAAGTTAATCAAGGTTATGTGGTAAATAGATGCAGATTGATTAACAGTTGTTAATTGCATATGCAGCTGATAAATTGCTGCAGTTGCATTTAACATACTTGGCTGTTAAGGCATGAAGCATCCTAAACTATATTAACTTCTTATATAAAATGTATCTCACCTACTGGTTAACTTGCCATAAAATCACTAACTTCAGAGGGATTTCATGGAGATCCTACAGTGTGAGTTAAAATAATGAATTACAAGGATTTTTAAATTTTTGTGATAGATAATTTTGGAGGAGAGCCCTTTTTTTTTGGTCACTTTAACCACTATGTATTTGTGAAGGAGGGGCAAACATTGACTGATCTGGATTGCTTCGTAAATTCAATGTTTTAATTTATCCAGATATTGCTCACATATGGGATTGACTTTACACTGGAATTGTGATACAGGGAAGATCTGAGTATAGCACCACCATTGCCTTCACTTAATTGCTGTATGTAGAATTGTATGTAGTCCTAGTGTATGTAGAATTGCAGCTGACAGTTTTCAGTTTGCACCTTTGCAGGCATGGAAGTACTGCATTTGTTTGTTCCGTGGCTTTCATCAGCGCTAAAATATATGTTGTGTATACTGAAATACCTACACGGTTGTGTCTCATGCCCCACCCCCCTTCCCCACCCTCTCCAATCTAAAACCATATAATCAAGATTTCATGTATGCTCAATAAGATTGACCTTGGGAAGAGACCATGATTACATAATTATCCTGTCTGGATAACTAACGATCAAACTGGGAGGTTGGCAGTCATTTAGAGCCTTGGCTGTGTTTCTCTAATCCTATTTTAGGCTATTTAGATTACAAGTTTAGTATACTGGGAATGTTCTGCTGAGTTAATGAATGAAATGCATACATACATATATACTTGCTTTGTCAAGTTGGTAGCTTGATAATCTAGTAGGCAGTGTCTGAGAATTTGCACCTATGGAATTAATCATGGAAGTGGTACAGGGCTTGGTTTACAAGAGTACTTGAACATCATCTGCTTCTATCAGTTTTAATTAATCTGATATCTGAATCAAGTACTCGGATGTCTGTGAAAACCTGTCCCTGTGTTTGAGTGGGTTGGTTTGTTTGTTTCCCCATTTGCTGTGTCAGAGGAAGTTAAAGTGCTGCTTGCTGTTGGGTAGGTAGCATGCTTAATTTTCTTCTGAGCTCAGGCACATCAACAAACCGTTGTTCGCAAAGTTTCAGAGAGTCAAGCTTTCTTTTTCACACAGAAAACATTTTCATAGCCCCACTGTTTTATACATCATTTATTGGTTGTAATTGTAGAAAGGTGTTCCTTACCATTGCTACATGTAGGAGCAATGAAATGGTAATCATTTCCGCTTGAAACTTGCCTTTCAAAAATAAGGTGAAGTGAGTCGGCATCTGGCTGCTGCCAAGAGCACCATGGAATTTTGTGCAGGTAATAAAAATTACATTGTTTTACAAACAATTCATTTTTCTGTTATAAAATCTATTATTTTTTTTTCAATTAGTCATCCAGATACGATTATGCTTGGCAAAGGTTAGGGGATCCCTGGTTTATAAGTTGGTTCTTAGTTTCTTTTGCATCCTTCATTTCTCCTAAATGAGAAATCTTGCCATGAATTTGATCTAGTGTATCCACCTTTATTTCTCTTATTTTCCCCCTTTATAACTAAATTAACTGATCAGCTTAATAATCATGGTTATGGTTCAGGAGTCAAGATACTGTCAATCAGCTGACTGTTGGGGAGGCAACTCCTGATGTTTTGTGAATATCTTTACGTGTGGGAGTGCCTTATAAGAAGTCACATTGGTTAACACTGTCAGAGGCTGTTGCTGAGTTACCTTCAGATGCAAGCAGAAATGCAGTGTGAACAGCTGCAATATCTGGGGTGTGTGCGTGTAATTAAGTATTTTGGACACTATTTAAGATGGTACTTGTCTTTTACTATGCCTTGGTATAGAAGGTTGAACTGCAGGGTTTCAAAATGCATGAAATTCTTCCCAGACTGAGATTTCTTCCAGATTCTCTATGCAAATGCATCAGACTTAAAAGTAGTGGAAAGTACTCTTTTTCTTTTGGAAGAACTCTACTTTTTGTAGAACTGTATATGGAGCAGTGTGCCCTTTCAAGTGCTACCTGCTCTTGGTGTACTTTCAACATCAGTGTGATGACATTTACAACCTAGACCTTCAATTTCGTGTCGGGTTTCGCAAGATAGATTTTTCTTTTCTTTTGCTTTTGTGCTTGGTGAACTATGGTCAGTAGAAACTTCATTTCCTGTTTGAATAGCATGTAGAACTGCTAATATCTGTATGAGCTCAAACTGTGGGTGAAGAGTGTGTAGCTTAGAAAGGCAAAACAATATGCTTTAATGGTGATTGCTTCCTTTTCAGTTACCAGCTGGTTGGTCTTTTAAGTGCAAGCATAGCACAAATTACTTGTCTGATTTCAACTTCTCTTCCTTGAAGAATATATTTTTGTAGCCAAGAGGAATATAATAGATAAAGTTATGCTTTTAGGAGCTCTGGAAAGTGGTTTGTTTAGAAGGGAAGGAATGGTCATTTGGTCACACTGCACTTTTCATCTGAGCTGTCAGTGTCATCTCTTACTCTTGTCAAAACAAAATGCTGATGAGTTGTACAGCTTTGTGTTGTATGGATTATTGCTTAGTAAAAAAAGTAGTTTTACTTTTTTAGACTAGACACTAAAAAATATAAAACCTTCAGATTAGGACTCAATTGCATTGACATCTTTAAAGCAAGAGTTTGGCAAATGGCAAGCATGGTTTTGTTTGCATGGAAATAGCTGTGAAATTTGCAAATATACAAGATACTGCTTTAACCTAAATGCTAGTATAGTGCATTATCAAATGCAGAGTTAAGTCAAAGGTTAATAGCTGTCTAATTGTTATTTGTCACATTATGGACTTGTTTGTTTTTATCTAAAGATTACAGTGTTGTCATAAAGCTACAGTGCTGGTATACCTTTTCAGTATTTTCAGACTCTAGAATGAATTAATTTTTTTCTCTTTTTTTGACAGTCAAGAATCCCTTCAGTGAAGAACTAAAAATAAAAGTAAGTAAAACCACTTAATATTGAGATTTTAGTCTGTCAAATGATTGTATAAAAACAACATAGATCAGTTCAGAAGGATGCAGTTTCAGATGTTTTGCATGAGATGAATGCACTTCTTGAAACTCTAAGGTTTTGATTTTTTTTTTTTTCATCTTGGGAAATGTAACTAGGATTACAAGATTTGGCTGTAGCATGCTGGTTGCTTTATATACTAAGAAAATGTTACATAATTTGTGTTGTAGAGCTATGAGGAAGAATTGTGGTGTTCTAAGTTTTGAGACTAAATTTATCAGTTTGTCTCTTACTGTTACCATTTGGCTTCTCAACCTTGAAAGACAGCTGGTAAGAGATGATTGACTTGAAACACCAGGATCTTACTTAGTGCCATAGAAGAGCAAGGGTTAGCCTCCTTCAGAAAATGGATTTAAAAGTTTGTTTTTTTCACATTGATTCTATTCTGTTACTTGTTCCTGTATTCACTCTTTCAACTGGAATATCAGGATAACCATTTTTGAGATGTAACCCTTGAAGGTATCTGTCTTATTAGTTCTGCAGCATGTGTTTTGGTGGTTCTCTCTTCTGGCCTTCAGTCTTTCTGCCTGGACTGTAAACGTAGTGACTTGCTTTTCTTAGGCATATATAAGTAGGTGTTGCAAGATAATTGTGTGTGGGGTTTTTTTGTCTAGGACTGAGCTCTCCAAAAGTGAATAGTTGTGTACTCTAAGTAGGTAGCCTTGGCTAGTTTCTCGGGTAGAAAATGTTTCTGAATCTTTTGAACAAATTGAATTTTGTGGGGTAAATTCTGAGGATTCTTTCAGAATGACTTTAGTAGTGCAGAGAGAATGCATCTTGTGCACTGGACTTGGCAGCTTGAGAACCTGTTTTGTGTATTACCTTCTGTGTTTCATGTGTACTGTTCCATAGTAATCCTACTCCGTGCTTGATTGTTAGCTACGAAGGTTATACTGTTCAGTTCCTCCTTTTAAGTGGTCTGACCATTGATCTACGAAAAAAGAATTTGTTCACAAAAGTGTTTCACGTGTCTGTCTCAGTGTAGCTATTAGCGAAGTCTTGGGTGTACCTACTGGCAAATAAATGGAACTTGGAGTATTGCTGTTGTGAGGTGTGTGGTAGAGGACTGATTTTCCTCTTCTGCCATGCCTGGTATTTTCCAGCCAGGAGATGAGTTAATAAAGTTGGTTAGTTTCCTAGGGAGTACCAACTATATCAATTTAATATCAATGATGGTTTTGTAGGACCAGAATAGGGAGAGGTGATGCTGGTGATTGTTGGTGTCATCCATGGGAATTAGTTTGTCAAATGTTTGCTCAATGAAAGAAGTGTTCTGCTTTTTGGTAGCAGTTTTCTTATGGAAAAAAAATTGGAGTGTTTAAATTTTAAAATTGTCAGATAGTGCTGGTGCATCAGGGAATTAAACTTAAAATACATTGGTTTTTTCAATGTGAGTATAATCAGATGCACAAACCGGAAAATTACCTTCCTTGCATATTTTCTGAATAAAGGTTGTAGTCTTATCTCAGCCATTTGACTCTATCCCAGGAGTCAGAGCCAACTTCAAAAAAACCCCAATGTTTTAGAATGGCCTTTAGTACTTAGTGTATGTAATTGCATGTTCCTCATCTTCATATTTTAAATAATTCCTTCTAATAGAAAATGTTTCTGGATATATTTCATTGAAATCGCTCAGTATTTTGATAAGTTTAACTCCCCTGTAAGTAACAATTATATGACATTTGTGCTTGTTTTGGGAATTAGGCCTTTTTATACTACTGGCATATGCAGGAAGTGTCAACAAGATTGTATAGTCCACAGCTTTCTGGTGTTGGTTGGTTAGGTTTTTTTGTGTGGCTTTTTTTTTTTAATTAAGTTACTGTGGTTTGAAGGTAGACAACAAATGTCTTAGTTCGCTATGAATTTCATGCGGGAATATGACCAGATGGTACTTTAGTGTGGCTTGTATGAAGTGTCACTGCACATTTATTAAGAATAAAACTGTTTAATTTTACATAGTAGCGGTCAAAAAAACCCCAAATGAAAACCCACCAAACTTCTTTTGGATCATTGTACTGTTCTCTCAGTAGTATTAAAATAACCTTTTGAGCTGTTGGTTTCTAACTGGCAGATCCATCACAGTCCAGAATGCAGTCTAGTTTAGTTTCAGTTAAGATCTGAAAAATCAATATTGTGAATACTTTGATTCAAAATCTATTGCTTGTATCATTGTTGATGTGTGAAACACTACAGCCTTCCACCTGCATGTGTAAAACCATTTTTTTTCTTATGGCATATAAAGATTTTGGGGGTAAATAGAAGAAAAATAAATCTCTACTAATGTTTATTTTAACATTAATGTGTTTTTCTAATTCTAGGAAGATGAAATAAGTCTCATGATGAACAGCTTATATGCACTTCACGATAAATTGGCACAAGTAGCAGGTAATGCTTTAAAAATATTGTGACTAAGTGTTTTGGCAACAACTACAAAGAAGTCTATGCTCAGATAGTGATTTGCAACAACTGGTATATGCTGGGGCCCTGATAACCGTTTAGAGTTCCATTTGGGGAAACTGGAAATCCCATTTCTAGCTCACTTACATTACCTTCTTCACCAGTGTAGCGCCTTTTGTTGCAGTGTTTTTTAGTTAATGGGATAAGCTGTTGAATATTGTGATCCTGTATGGTTTTTGATCTAATGTCTTAATGCTTTATTAAGCTGATTTCATCAAGAGGTTTAAATATGCTATATGTGGAGACGAATATGTATTTATTTTAAAGGTAGTTATCTCACTATGGTGGAAAAATGTCTGAAAACCAAAATACTTTGCAACAATCAGAAAATGGTTACTAATACAATGAACAGTAGTGGTTGAACAAGATTGCCTTGTTAGACAAAATAGTTCGTTAACCATACTAATTATATAGTAGTGAAAAGTGCTGTATATAGTAATGTGTCAGATGGTGTTTAGGATCAGTATTAATTATTGAATATTCAGAGTAAAAAATACAGTGTTTTTGCCTAGAGTCATAATTAACACAGCTTTAAACTGTATAGATATTTACACATAATCAGTAAATGGTAAAGTTAAGACTGTATTTATAACTTTGGCATCTGGTGAGTGTGAGTTACAGCAGAATCTATTTCATGACTATTAAGCCATTTATTTATCATCCTTGCTTATTTAATCCATAGTGCATTTAGGAGGCAGTGGTTTCGTTTTTTTTTGTTGTTGTTTTTAAGCCTTACTGTTCTTTGTGCCAACTATTTGTTTTGCAACAGCAAGTTTCACCAAGAAGGCTTTTCCACTTATCAGACATTTCTCAAACATTAAAAAATGTGGAAACAACTCTGTCAGATACGAGGCTGACAATTTAATATGTCAGGGCTATATAGGAAATCTGTGAGAAATTTGAGCAGCTCTGTAATACCTCTAAATTGCAAGAGTAATCTTCCTGCAGAAGCTTTTTGTTTCCAGAGCATTTACAGTATCTGCAGTGAATAAAATAGATATTTGGACAAACCCCACATACTACTTCTTGTTTACATTATTCTTTAACCCAAAATAGTGAAAGAATGATGTTAATCTGAGTACATGCAAAATAATAGCTGCCTTAGTCTTCATTTTGTTGCTTTCTGGCTGTGAATGCCTTGTAGCGTTGATCTTTCACAGGTCAATTACATCTTAATACGCTTTTATCTCTTTCAAACTATTTCATACTTAATAGATGGTAGTAGATAATTCCGTGCTATAAATCATTGGGGCCAAAAGAATTTTTTTCCATGCAGGGTAGCCAAACTGGTGTGTGTAGGAATGTCTTTATGAGACCCACAGCTGTGTGCAGTAGAGCACTGACTGGCGTGCAGTGGAAGTAATGGGTTATGCTACTTCTCTCCCTCTTTTGAAAAGAAAATATAACAGCTTGCTGTTCCCTCAGTGTGTCATCTGGCCCTCTGGTGGCCATACAGTAAACAGAGTTCTTGCCTGAATAAAAAGGTTTGGCACCTCAGTTCTACATCAGTGAAAGAAAGGGAGTTTTCTTCATTAGCTGGAGCTTACTTATGTGCATGCACACTTACAAAAACATTTACCTGTCTGCCTTATGAGAGGAATTTGTATGCTCCAAGATGACTGCTTTCTTCCCCAGTTCTCAAAGGTGCATTAATCTCTATTAATTAGTCTATTCCTGGCCAGGAGATTCTTCAGTACTTACTTTCAAAAAATATAGCTATACTTTCTGGTTAGATGATCCCACAAACTGAAGCTGTGTTGTGAGATCACCTGGTTGCTCAGCAGAGTAGCTTTCATGCAGTCTGAAGAATGATCTAATTCATCTGTACTTAGAAGTTATCCTCAATGCCAAGTTTCTTGAGGTATGAGAGGAAGAAGTCTGCCGTCCGTTTTTGAATACCATGTTGATGTAGACCTGGCACAATATCTGGAAGCTGTTTAAAAGTCATAGAACAGAGAAAGCTGCTAGAGAGATGCAGGGGTTTAAGTGTTGATCTTGTACATGGTGCACCACTTCAAAGGGCAGAGAAGTAAAGGAATGTAGTTTTAGTAAAAGTGGTGCTTTTCAGGTCTCTCTGTCACATACTTGGAAAAGTTTCTCTCATTTCATACTTGGCTATGAATCATTTGTTCATGTTATAACTATTAATATTAAAAAGGCAGGCTGGAAACTTGCAGTAGTCTGTTCTGTTAAGCTTTATTCAACATCTTGACTACCATGAAGATGGTCACTTCAGAATTTGGTTTCTAGCCCTCTTTGTTTTATTAGACTTCCTCCACTTTTGCTGAGCTAGTTTCTTGCCCTGTCAAATTCAACTGGAGAGCAAGTGATGGGGCTTCTATTTTAGAAGGTAAAACACTGGAAGTTGTTTGAAGGAAGAAAAAGGGTAACAGTTTGTTAATTTTATTTGACTTAATATATACTATGTTCCAACTGTAGATGCCTATTCTGTACTGTGGTGCTCTGATAGGATGTAAAATGATTTAATTATCCTATATAAAAATAGATTGCCTTTAATGCATCACTGTTCTCAGGATTACTAGTCTGCCAAACCTATGGTGAGTAATGCCTACCTCACGAGAAACTAGAGGGAGAAGGAGTATCTGTCTACTCATCCAGTTCTGAGTTGAAGTTTGTGTTCCTGTGTTCTTGTGTAGTGGTTCAGCCTTTCTTCAAAACAGCAACTCTTTATAGGCAGTATATATCTCAGTGCCTAAGACTTTCTCCTAAACCAAAAGATGTGCTTTACTTAAATTAGACGTCCTTCAGGCATATGTTGATTATTGGATGTCTTGGTCTTTCATGGAGAGACTTCAATAGATCACATCCATTTTCAGCAAGGCTTGCAAAATGGATAAACCTAACCACTATATCCACAAGAAGCAGCCAGCTACCCATGGGTATGACCCTTTTTTGTAAGGAATTTTTATTTAGTTAGACATTTCTTTTGCTTGGCATTCTCTACGGAGTGATGATCTATCAGATTTGGATGGTTCCCTTCTGAGCTAGTAGACAGCACGGGTCCTTGAGATGCAGGAGTGAATTAGACTTCCATATGTAATAAGGCTTACTGATACATCCATGGCTGGAAGAAAATCCTGGCAAAACACTAGGTATTACTTAATTTCAAGTGTCAGCTACTGTATCTGATTGCCGTCACAGGCGCTCTGTTCTGTCACTCTCCTTAATCTTTAGTTCTTTAGGTAATTGATATTGTGCTGTTTCCAACTAGTGATTTAAAGACTATTTAGCCAGTTGTGGTTTTCTGCAGTGTTATTAAACTGTTGAATTTGCCTTTGGGAGATCAGGCACTCTTACTTGCTCTCACAACACTTGTTCTGCTCTTGCTTTTCTTCAGCTACCCACTTTAGTGTCCTGCTGCAAGTAACCTGTAAGCATGGGACCTGCTAAACAAATGTTTTGTACGCCATTTGCTTTTTGTATTGGTTGACTGTATCACATCAAGCAGTAAGCTAGTGACCTGTGCTAAATCCTTGTGTTCCTTAAAGTATTAGATTTCCACTGGGTTTTGGTTGGTTCTGGTACTTTTAAGAGAATGATTTACATTGTAAAGCAAATATTTTAAAATTCTGAATATATCTGTTAAGTGTATATGCTGCAGCTCATAAATTCAGCTAAATGCCTAAATGAAAGTCAGTTTCAAATATTCTAGCCTGCATGGAAACGCAGATCCTGCTTACTTTCTGTACTGAAAGCAATTGTGAGAACAGACTTAAATGTTTCTTTTGAACTGAGCCTTTAGTTGCTTTTTTCTTAATATTTTTAAAAGAACAACTCAGCTTCTTATGTGACTTGCGCAAGTACTCTAACATAAGCTAAAAGGTAATTTTGTGATCCTTGTTGGGATGTGTTACTTCTCCCCTCCCTACAAAGGCAAGTAGAATGGTTCTCTGATTGCACTTGAAATTGAAGTGATCTGTGCCCAAGAAAAGTTTGAGCAGAAAGATCCATGCTTTCTATAAGCTCACAATAGGCGTTTTAACAGAGGGGCAGGTTTTACAAAGAGCTTAGACGTCTCTTGCAGCAGACCTGTGTAAAGGTTTTTTTGTTTTGTTTTGGGTTTTTTTTTTTGCCTCTGCTTCAGTTTTATTCCTGGGATATAGGGCCTCAGATGGAACAGTTGGGAAACATTTTTGGCTCAGACTATGGAAAGTGGGTTTCCAAGCCAAGTGGTTAATGATTGCACCAAAGTTATTCAAAGTAAGCCTTCATTTGCAGAACTATTAGCTAAAGCTTGACTGAAATGGCATATAGGAATATCCTGCTGTTTTCAGTAAACCAGAAGGTTGTCTGACTTGTGAATTGCCTAACTTTCTGCAGGCTTTCAAATTCAGAGTTTCTCAGAAGAAAGCTGTTAAAAGGTTCTCAGCAATAGATGGGTTGGAATGAGAAACTGCATCTCCAGCAGCTTTTTGTACAGGACTGAAACTCCATTAAGTCTGATTAGCTTACTCGTTTCAAGAGTGGGAGGCAAGATGAAAGTGATTTTTTTTTTTACCACCCCCCCCCCCCGTATTGCATGAAGGTAATTTGAACTGATGGGCCTTTGACATTGTCAAGGCCTAGGCAGCAAAGGCGTTTTTAATTGTTAAACTTGTTCAGAGGCAATATAACCTGAAAAAAATTTCAGAAGGTGGACTGTGAGGAAGCTGTCTGCTGGTTTTTGAAGATGAGACCATAAGCTGTGAAGTCAGTGTGTTGGCTGCATACTGCATAAATGTAATTCCTGGAGGAAGGCAAATAAGATTAGAATTTAAAACTACCAAAGTAATCCAGTAGTCCCCCACCTGAGGGAGCTTTTGTCCTCTTGTAAGAGGTAATACCGTGTTCTTGTAAGACTGGAAATCTGAAATTAATCCTGAAACTTGTTTTTTAAGCATTAATTTTTCACAATCTGGTCTCCTGCTTGTGTGGTTTGTTTGTTTTTCTTTTCTGTGTATTAACCTCACCCTTTCTATTCTTTCTTATTTATTTCATGAACGGGCTTTACTGCTTATCTAGATAATTAAAAACCAACAAACAAAAAACCCCAAAGTATCTAAGCAGAAGGGTCTCATCCCCCTGCTTTTGCAAGCTGTTTTGTTCACTTGAATTATGACTAAAATGCTTTTTCTGTATTAGAAAGACCCCAGGAAGACTTCAGGTCTTACCAAAGAACAAAAAAATGTTAATGGATGAATACCTATCAGACTTGCTCGTGTCATACAGCTTAATACCTGATTGAGACTGTACGTATGGCTTCTACAGAGATACACTTTGGTTTTGTTGTATTTATTCCATCAGTTCTAGATTTAAAACAATGTGTTTACACCAGAGACTGTACAAGTATGATTTATAGTTTTCCCAAATCTGCTAATCTTGAAATATTTAAGTCACTGATGATTAGTCATGTGAATTTACAGGTTGTAGAGTTTATGCTGCAGAAAAAGAATGTCTGCCTAAATTACATACAAGAATAGCTCATATCTCTAATTCTGGGGCTGACTTCTAAGTTCAGAATGTTTTGTTGGCAAAGGTGGTGTCAATTTTCACCAGTGATCTCTGTAGTTTTGCTATTGCAGTAGACTCAAGCACTTTGAAAGTCTAAGATGTTGCATGTTAATTATCAAGTGAAAGAACTTTTAAAGTAGTGCCTTTTCTGCTCAGTGCTTGATTGAAAATACACGCATGCATACAGACTTAGTTCCAGCAGCACTTCTAGTCCAGGTAGCATATGAGCACTCTTAAATGAAACAGTGTTCGTATTTCTATACAACCCAACAGTAAAAGAAGAGCATCCCTGTTATGCTGATGTGCTTGCAAGGCCAAATTCACTTAAATCTATTGAAGTGTATTGAACAAAACTTTGCTTTAGCAGTCTGAGAAGACTTTTGCTTCATAGAAACACTTATTTCTTTGGAACTCCCTACTGTGAATGAGACATGAAGATGCTTCTCCGTAACTTGCTAGTGTTGCCTAATTTTTGTTCAGATTGCCTCAAATGTTCTCATTTGTGAGGGGAATTAATACTTGAAGTTGCTCCATTTAAAGGGTATTCCAGTGTGGAGTAATTCCAACTTTAAATACTTTGTAAGAGTATAAGCAAATGTTTATATTTATATTATATGCATGAGTATCTTAAACTTTCCTAGCCTTGCTATGGCTTTGGGAATAATAGAGCTTGGCATAGATTCAGGAGGATAAGGCAGGCGTAACCCTGAGCCAGAAAAAGACTGAATTTGTTGTTTACTATTTTGTTCGTTTGACACAGTAAAATTATAGTTACAGATGCTAAGATTTTTTTCTTTTTAGAGAGATCAAGAAAAAAGTGAATTGCCACTCCCTGACAGTTTCTCAGAAATTATGGCCTAGTGATAGATAAAACTGGTGTTAGACCTTTTCCTTTTCTGTGTGACTTTGTGTTGGTATGACTGTCAATGCAAAAAAACCATGTTTGAATCAGGTACCTTCAGTTTAGCAAAGAAAATCAGGAAGATGGTGGCACATGGCTGTGAGGACTGACTGTGCATATAACACCTTATTTCCTGACTACTTCTGTATACTTTCCAAAAGAATTAGAAGGATGGTAAAACCACCAGTTTCAGGCCATATTGGGATTTTGTGCATGTTCAGGAAGGTGATGAGTTATTGTGATAACTTGGACCAATCTAAAATGTAGTAACTTTGTAGTGCCTGAAATACTGTTGTGGATATGTTGCAACTGGAACTAACTTAGTCTGTATAAAAGATAATACATGTTTCAGAGTAAATAGAAATTATTTGGAAGAAGTTGAATCAGGGTACAGCAGCTGTTCCATGGTAACGTCCTTTTGATAGTTCTTCATAGTATGTTTTGTTCTACTTTCAGTGTAAATACGGAATTATACTTTCTGAGCAGTATATGAAGTTGTATTGATGTGATTTGTACATATTATTAGCTGTGACAGTCTTCATTTTTTAAGTTTTTTTGAAGGAGAAGTTTGTCCAGACATTTTTCTAAATTTTTTAGTGGAACTTGTGAGAATTATTGAGCTACTGCTGCTTGTGTAAATTGTGTTAACTTTAAGCTTGTGTTTAGGTGATTTTATTTTATATAATGCAGTAATAAGTAAATAAAAATAAACAAAAGTTTAATTTTACCAGGGGAACATGAATGTGGCAGCTCTATTCAAAGAAATCTTACCGTCCAGGAGGCAGCTGCGTATTTAAAAGTAAGCAAATGAGGTATTTTTCATTGGTTGTGTATAAGATTTGTGTAAGTTATAAATTGTAAGGCCTGGTTTCATATCTAGTTGTATTGACTAAAATTTGACTTGGTATACAGTGTTATTTGGAAATGTTTGGAATTTATGTCTTTAACATATGCTACTTTATGATTTTTATTTGGGGGTGTAGCAAGATTTTGGGGGAGAGGGAAGGTGAAATAAACTGGCTTAATTGCAATGGAAGCGTAGATGATAGTGATTCAATGGCATGCAGTTTTTTTCCCTTTAGTTAAAACACCAGGGCTTAAATTGAATTGATGGAGATAGTTGACCAACATGAAAATCATAAATTTATGAAATTCAAATCTCTAGAATCTTCTCCAAAAATCAGTATACTATGTTTTGAGACTTAGTAGAAAAGGATACTGTCGTCTTTTTTTTGGGAGGAGAGGTTGACATGTGGCTCTGTACAGCGGCCCTGACAGGCAGCAGCTGTATGGAGACACCATTCATGGATGCTTTAAATAGAAATGGTGAAAAAAGGCATTTTTGTTAACTTGATAGGTGTGCAGTATTATGAAATCCCACTCTGCTGTCATTCCCCTGTCTCATTCCCCAAATAAAAGATTACTTTTGCCTTGTCTTGACAGCTGTAGGGTTTATTTTAGCCCATGCTGGTGTACCCTTCAGTGGAAGACTACTTGAAGCTTTTAAAAGGCTGAGAGTATAAGATTTCTTTGATTGGATGGGGGAGTTAAGCTGATGTGACTTAATATACAAACGTGTAGAAATTTTACATTTTGGCAAATGTTTACATAGTGGACAAAAAGGGGCAATGTTAAAGAGCATCCTGAAGAAGCTACTAACACTGGTTTATGGTTTGGCAATGATATTCTATATCTGCTAAAACCAGTGCATTGTGGGAATACATTGGAAAAAATGAAGCTGATGCCCGATAATTGATAGACTTACCTATCTATTGTGCTGAAAGGATGACAGTTGTTATCATAACCACTGTTTTAGCTCTGATAAGCTCAAATTTCATATGAAAATTTGTTACTTTGTATGAAGTCTCATTAACCCTACAGTTCCTCATTTTGGGAGTATAAATATAACTCCTTGGCAGAATTTCAGTGCTCAGTGATAAAACTGTAATAATTTACTCTCAGAGTGAAAATAACAGTTACTGTTTTTTTGTAAGTGCTTATCCTTTAATTCTAGGCCAGTTACCTTATGTGAGGTTCAAAGGAGAGATGGAGATAAATCTTTTTGGAGAGTATAATTTCAAATACAGTAGTAACTTCCATTTTTGCTTTTTTTTTTTTCTGCAAAAGAACATGCAAAGTGAACTATGGAGACAGCCTTAGCTCAAACAGCAGTAAATGTTCTATGATAGCTGATACCAACTAATTAAAAAAAAAGTCAATTTCTACATAGTAATACCAGTTCTTGAACTACAACACTGGACTATTTGCAAAATATCAGTTAAAATTTATTTTCCTCAAGCTTCTTTAAAAAAAAACCAACAAAACAAACCAAAACAAAAAAAAACCCCACACCAAAAAAGCCCCCACCTGAACTGCTTTTATAGGACCCATTTTCAGCTGGGTTTATATCTGGTTTTTACTCTTGAAGTAGATTTTCCATGAGCACCGCCTAGTGGCTGAATAATTTTTTTCTTGCTGTAGGTTAGAATTATTAATAATAAAACAGTGAATGTGCCTTGGCTTTTCAAACAGTCCTTAATTTGAGGAATGCTAGTAACTCAGATACCTGCTCATAGCATGTATAGATTCACTTTGTGTAGTGAACACTTATGCAAAATCTGAAGAATCAAGAACAAAACCACGTAGTTTTGGCTACTAATCTGTGCAGTATCTGAATTTTATTGTGGCATGATAACTTTCTGGTTATTTATGGAATTACTTATTAATATTCATCTTTTGACAGAATTTAGATCCAGAATATGAAAGTGTACTTAACACAGCATTACAATGGATCTTGAATAGTGGGGAAGACGTTGGCATAAAGTAAGTGGTCTTTATTTCTTATCTTAATTTCTTCTAACAGAAGGCATCCTTTTTCATAAATACTGTATATTTTTTAATAGGTGTCTCAGCAATGACCCTAATGAGATGGATGTCACTAATGTGACAGATGTGAAGTATCTGGAATCCACTAGTCCAAAGATGTCTTTCAGGTGTCGTTTTCGCCGTGCATTTGTTAATGTAACTCACAGATTATCAATATTGCTTTTGGGTAAGTTTAATTAAAAAATCAAACATTTTTTGTTATAACTTGCGTTTATGTAAGTGAACAGGGAGAAGTAAACAGCATGTTTAGAGAAAGTTTTTATTCAACCACAAAACTTGGAGTTCCTATCAGTATCTTGATTACAGTGCAGTTTGCTTTGCACTTCTGTTGCATCACTGTATTTTCACATTGGTTGCTATCATCTGCTGCTGTAGTCAGCTGAACGTACTCATTCTTTGGGAACTCTGTCTTTTTCCCTGCCAAAGCAATACCTTGTGGCTTTCAAAAATTCCAGTTTGAACTGATTTGAAAAAGCAAAATCCTCAGTAAAAAGACATGATAGCCTTAATTTTGAGGATATTTCACTGTTTTTCCAGGAACTTTGGAAACATAACTACAGAAAAGATGATTTTCCTAGTTTTAGGAAAAGTTGGGATACCCAACGTGGTTGTCACCAAAAAGTCTTACCTCTCAGATGATGTTCTGAAAATGTATCTAGTCCTTCAGTAAGACTAATTTGTTTAGGCTTTGATAGTTCTCTAGTTAAGCTTCAAATTCTTTCAAGTTTATTTAATCTTAACCATACTGAAAACTACACAGCATAAAAATACGGCTCAGCTGAATGCAGACACTTCAGTCCTTTTCTTGTGGCTGGTTAGAAATATTGAAGATGCAGTGTTCATCTCATGCACCTATTGAATATTTAATACTTTTTTTTATCCCAATATCTTAATAATCTCATGCTTATGAGCAGAAGACTTGAGACTTTCTTCATGAGCTTTTTGACAAACCAAAAGAATCAAAGGCAAACTGTCGCAGATTGCCGTCTTCCTGTTAATAGTCAGTGTGAGGGTTGAATTGGGATGCAGAGATGAAACTCAGTGTCCAAGTCAACCACTGGTCTTATCAGTCATGCTGAGCAAATTGCTCCTTGTCTTAACTTTCTCATCTGTAATTAAGGTTAATAGGAAGCACCATTTCAAAAATAAACCATTGTATAAATGTTATAAATGTTAGATGTATTGTCATAAACTAACACCCATTTTGGCCTAAAGTGGTGTCCCCCGGTCTTTTTGATGTATCAGTTAACATTGCCTTGTGATCACTGGTATGCAAACCAAACTATGTATAATTTGTGTATGTGTGGTTTTGGTGGTGGTGTGGGTTTTTGGTGTTTGTTTTGTTTTTTTTTTTTTTGTGGTGGTGGTTTTGTGGTGTGTGTTTTTTTTGGTTTTTTTTTTGAGAGATCACGGGCGTAGTGGTGCCCTCAGCCTGAGATATAAAAATCTTATTCCTTCTTCTTTTCTGCTTATGCTGTTGGCCTTCCTAACTAGATTGTCCTTTTGGGGAATAATCTTTAAAGTAATAGAAAAAGAGCATGCAGTACTTTTGTTGCAAAAAGTACAAATCTGTAGCTGAACTGAAGGAGTCCAAGTTAATTAGTTTTGACTGGTATATCTAAAGCATGTGACTTGTATATGAATCAGTGAATATTGTGCATTTTTAAATCTTTAACATGTTCTAAATTGTCAGTTGATGTGACTTTTGATATGACTTTGAATTTTTCCAATATAATTGTTGTACTGTTTTTCTTCACAAATGTGTAAAATTTCAAACCACAGGCATGGGATACCAGGCTATTGTTAAAACAATGAAATGTTTTTCTAAAGGTAACTGCTCTTCAAAGTTTAAGAGTTCATGTTGCTGTGTTAGTAAAAATAAAATATTGACAGTGAGTACAGTGTATTTCACTAGCTTTGAAACTTAAGTACTTCAAAATGTTAGCTAGTTCAGCTAACTTCTGAAGTATGTGCTGTAAACCAATGTTCTAATACTGTTTAAAGAGTATTATACGTCTTAATGCAGGTATAGCAGTGGTTTGGGGAGTCTTGCACTACATGAAATACCGTTGGGCAAAAGAGGAAGAAGAAACGAGGCAGATGTATGATATGGTGGTAAAAATCATAGGTATGGCTTTTTGTGTGACATCTGATGTATCTGTATCACCTCTGTATAAGCTTTCAAAGTACTGGCATTAATTCAGTTATGTTTGCTGCCTGTTTAGTTGTCAGTCATCATGCTGTTAGAGTTCTTGGTCAAATAGGTGTCTCATGTGCTTTGTTTCTCTCTTTAAAAAAAATAATAATCATCCTTTAAACCTAATCAAAGCTTTTGGTATAAAGATTGTAATTTGTGAATTACATCAACATGGCTATAATAAATTTCCATTGTCTTGGCGGTATTTTATCTTATTATTGAAAGCAAATACAAATGCGATGTTTGACTGTAAGTAGGGGGTGGCATGTTGCTTTCTGTACCTGTTTTTTCAGCGATCTTTAGCTAAAATACCCACTCCTAAAATGCGTGTTAGTTCTCAATTCCATCCTTAATGCCTTTTCATATAAAAAGCAGCTTTTTAATTAGTCACTTTGAGCAGAAATTATGTTACTGAAATAGAATGCATAATTCAGTTCTGAAATTCTGCCTTTCTACTTGAAGCCAAAACGTTTTCAGCAGTTTGTGTTTGTAGTTTTTAAGCTCTGTTTTGGGCTGTGTTTTTACTTAAATTGTCTTATTCCTTTCACCTACGGCAATTATCGTAAATACAGAGATGGCAGACAAATTGGAGCTGTTTTCTTGTTTTTACCATTTTCCTACCTTTTTTGTTTGCAAATCAAGTTTTTTTGGGGTGGAGGGGAAAGCACTTTATTTTCAAAGGTGACTGTCTTGGCTAACAGCTAAAAGTACCAATCAAGAGTAAGTGCAAGAACTCTTCTCCTTTATTCCAAAGTTATTTGGGGTACTTGGAGGCGCTGCGTGTGGTTAGTTTTCTTGATTTGCTTTCAGCATGGTTAGGAGGAAAAATGCTTCAAATGCTCAAAACATCTTAACTACTGAAATTGGGAGGGGTCTTCAGAATAGCTGTTCATTGCCAGAACTGCTATTTTTCTTCATGTTTGCGTGAACTACGTAGTTACCAGTCTTTCTTATGGTGTCCTCAGATGTTCTGAGAAGTCACAGCGAGGCATGCTCTGAAAATAAAGATTTGCAGCCTTACATGCCGATTTTGCACGTGCGTGATTCTCTAATACCACCTCAGGACAGGTATGTTCTCACTAGAAGGTACTGAATTTTCTTATGTGTAATTAAGGAAAAATAGTAAAAATAAATTGGTTGATTAACTAAGTTAATTTCAGTAGGTTGCATAGTATAATATTTCAGAGATTCTTATTGACACAGGTGGGGGAAAAAACCATTGGATTTCTCTTACATGCTGGATGTCAGCTATGCAGGTTGTTATAATGCTAACTTTGTAATTCTTGCTTCAATTTTTAAGGAGGAAAATGAGGAAAGTCTGGAATAGAGCAGTTGACTTTCTTGCAGCAAATGAATCTAGAGTTCGCACAGAAACACGAAGAATAGGTGGTGCCGAGTTCTTGGTTTGGAAATGGATGCAACCTTCTGCAGCATGTGACAAAATCTTAGTAATACCATCGAAAGTATGGCAAGGCCAAGGTATTGAAGTTCAGTTATATTTTACAAATATAATTGTTTTAATTTCTGCAACTAACTTTTAAACAGTACTTTGCGTGAGTATTGTTATGTGAACTGACAGTGCTATTTCTCTATTATCTTGTTCAATAGACTTTTTCTCTGCATTCAGTGTCTGTCTTGTTTTCAAGCAAAATGAGCTTTTCTGTTACAGCTGCTGCAGAAATACAGCAGAGGGCATGTAGTGAAAATGAGTTGCTTGTTCCTTTTCGTGAATTTTAAAAAATACTCTGTAGTTGGTCAAATTCTGACATGCCTTACTCTTAACTGGAAGTAATGTAATTGGTTGTATCTGACAGCAGATAAATTGGAGCTTGTAGACTTGAGTTTCCTACTGTTAAGTTATCAGTCAGATACTTAAAGACAGTTTGGAAGAAGAGGTATTTCTTTATTTTGAAAGGGAAACTGCTGGGACAAAAGACTCTTCAGTCAGCAGAACATGGATTTTGAGCATCTTCTAGTAGTCCTTCCTTTCTGTCATAAATGTTTTTCTACGCTGTGCATTTGTATTTAAAGCAAAGCAGCAAAGTTTTTGCTGTAATAGAGGAGGCTGTTGTCATACACGGCTTTTTCAGTGGTCTGTCACTTTTCAGCTTTATCATGGAGCCAAGTGGCAAGAATCCAGTGGGTTTGCAGTTGTCTGGCTAGTTCTTTTTCTTTCTGACTTTCTTCCTGCTAAGCTTCAGTTTATGGGGTGGGCCTTTTTTTGTCAGTGAAAAATTGAAGCTAGAAGACTTGAATTCTGGGTTGCAATAAAAAAGAATGTTCTTTTCTATCAGTGTCTGAATGTGAAGGTAAATGTTTAAAGTGGAATCTTAATTGCCACATTATGTGTGGCAAATGTTGTGACTCTTAAGGAGTCTCTCTTGCCTTACACTCTTTTGTAATGCTGTATTGTCTCTCCAGTGGGACTGAAATAAATGCTGTGCAGAATCCTAGTTTATAAACTCACCAGCTTATTTTGATGGTGAGGGAGGAGGGAGTGGTTGCTTCTCCAGTTTTTAGTTCAACTTTTTAAATCAGATGTTGTCAAGGTTGTATCATGCATTACTTCCATGGCATGGAACTAGATGCTGAAAAAAGCCTGGTTAAAAAACAAACAGACTTTCTGCTCTTCCTAGTCCCACTTAAAATGAAAATTCCCACTGGCAAGCAACTGCATTCTCATCTATGTTCTTCTAGAGTATGCTGATTTTGGTCTTAGTTTAACTAATGCAAGAGTAATAGGCTTCCTTTTTCTGCTTTTTACTGGTATACGTTTTTATTGGTAAGAAACAGTGTTTTTATTGTTTCCTATAAAAGAAGGTACAGTTTTAAAGTAGCTCCTTCCAATGTGATTATTTCCTTTCCAAAGACAGACAGAAAGAGCTTCTTTGTGGCCTGGAACATTTATGCTGTAGCAAGCTTGATTGCCCGAGTAAAAGTACTGCTAACATTCTGGTTTTGTCCCAGCCCACTTGCATGTTTTCATAAGTTCTACATATGCTTTCAGCCCTTGGGTCTTAAATTTTGCTTTTCTGTAAGTTCAAAGCAAAAAACGAACAATCCTTTCTGTAAACTTGAAAAGTCAAATATTTTGAGACATTTTCAGGTACTTGGCATGTTATCTGATGAGGCTCTTGGTAGTCTTGGGGCCCATTTCTTGCTTGTCTATCCAAATGTTATATCGGGATATCATTATATACTTCTCAAAGTTATGCTGCTGGTTTTAGCATTATGTTTCTCATATTAAATCATTCAGTGGAAATGGGGGCTGCTTTGTTTTAAAATAAGTTGTGAATACTACTGCAGGCTTGAGGTTCTGCAGTCATTGTCTTGCAGTAACATGGCATTCATTCAGCTGTGACAACTGTATTGCATGATTTCATTTTCTCAATATTTTAGTTAGTAAGTTTATTACAAGAGTTCAAGAGCCTTTTCTTCATAGGACATTGTCCATTAAGGATGTGCAAGTGCTTTAAGTGTAGTCCAGAAATGGTGGGTCTGTTCCATCTCTGTAATACTGTAATGACTGATTTTCAAACACTTAAATTGAACATAGCTTCTGCAAGCTGTGTATATTATAAAGCTGAATCCTCTGTGTAGTTTATTGTTCAATACAGGCTGTGAAACATGACACTGCAGTTCTGGAATTTCTCATTTACTACTCATTTGCTCTCAGTTTTTCTTGTCCTGTTTGATTGCAATATAAATCACTATAACATTCTGTCCTGTATTAGAAATCAGACTGGATTTTACTCCATCTGGAAGACTTCTCAGAGTGTGGTGGCTCAGGTTCTACTTTGCTACATGCAATATATATTCAAGACTCTCAACGGAAGGGTAGTTTCCAAAACTTCCTAGAAAGACAGCTACTGTAGTAGCTACTGTTTAGATACCATCTGAATTTGAGTATCTGATAGCTACTTCAGCATATTGTGAATGCGGACAGAATAACTTTCAGCTGTGGCTTTTAGCTGTACGTTGCCTGGAGTATATACTTAAGATTCTATGCTTTCTGTTGAATAGGATATTAAGACCTGTCCTGTTTCAGTTCTTTTAATAGCAATTTTCCTAGTTTTCTTGTTATGTTTGTAGTTCAGCAAAGATCTTTGAAGAATTGGAAATGCATGTTTTGGCTCTAACAGAAGGACATGGAAATAGGGGTGGCTGAAATTACGTAGGTCATTTGGGCTCTGTGTATCTTGGTAGACAGCAGGCAAAGGCAATTTTCACATGCAAAGGCTCTTTCTATTTTGTGTTCCTTGTTTTCATACGACTGTTGGAAATACTTCCATTACACAAGTCTCATACTTCTTGCACAGCTGTTTCTTGCCTCATGTTAGGAATTCTAATGTATGTGTCGTTTTCTTCATTTTTGGAAGTATAAATCAACTGGAATTAAGTTCATCCTCCAGTTTTGATGTTTGAATATAGAAGTTCATAAATCTAAATACTCTTCAGGACTGCTAGGTCCTGAACAAACTCAGTACATACAAAGTCAGAATGAATTCTTGGTTTTGAATCTTTTGAATAAATTTCAAGGTCTCAATTTTTTTAACCTTCTGAGATCTGGTAGTGCTCTGTAGCAGAGCACACCACCTAGAGTATGTGCAATTGAAGAAGAAAGCCTCTTGACCTGTCAGTGTTTACTAGGATATTGGTAGATGATAGCATGCCCTTTAAATAGGGGATCTGTAGCATGTGTGAAGATCTAGGCTCTGCTGTCTGTTAGCATCTAGAGTTCAAGCATCACTGTGGCATTTTGTCCAGCCCTTCAGAATGCAGCCTGTCTTTTGACAGGCAGTTTGTGTTTTGGTGGTTTGTTTGTTTGTTTTTACTGGGTCAGAATAAAGTCTGGTATATTTCCTTTGAAGTATTATCTACTAGATACATTAGATGTATCTGTCAAAAAAAAAAATTGATAGGTAAGCTCATTGTAGGATGATGGACAAATAAGTGATGTTTTGAAAACAGTTGACAAGAGAATTGTCAATTGAAAAACAATCTTGATCATGCCAAGGTGTAATTTAATTAAATCAATGGGGGGAAAAAAAATACATTTCTAGTGTGTTCAGTTTGCTTTTGCAAGAACAGATACTATTGTCCAGATATCATGCCTTTGATAACTGGAGCTCTACAGAAAAATAGGTAGGCAGTGCTCCAATGCAGCTAAGCTAACAGCAATAGCTAAGGTTCCTTGACAGTTCTGGAGATGAGATAAAAAGGTTCTCTGAAGTACCACATCTAGGGTGATATTTCATCCTGCAGCATGGAAGATGACCTATTACCTTGTGTGAATGATACCCCTCTTCCCTGACTTGTGAGAACATAATCCTTTCTCCATGTTAAAAAAAAAAAAAAAAAAAAGGCACTGCTCTTAACTATTGCAAGAAAACTCTGGATTTTATGCTTGTTGTAAAATTCTGTATCCATCCCATGCTGGTCTTCTATAGCTGAACTTAACTGTGTTAAACCCCAAGTCAACCACACTCTCCTCTCTTAATAACATCTGGTAGTATTTTGATTTCAGTATCTTTCCTGTTTACTGGAGAACCTTGTGTTATGTGGAAGTGCATAACTTCAACATTTTCAACTAAATGTTTTATCTTTTTGTTCTTGCATTTGATAAGAAGGGTTAGTACTTAATAAATTACAGTGATCTGTGGCTTAACGTGAATAAATCTGTTCTTCAGAAGCATGGTTACCTATATTTGATGCAAGTCTTCAACCCCATCAGGTACGTGAAATCCACATCTAAAGATCTGTTGGGCTGTCTTACAACCCATGGTGGTGATACTGGGGAATCCCTTTAGCAATAATCCAGTATTCATTCAAGAGGTGTAGAAAGCTGTACTACAGTTTTTTAATGTTCATTTTGAAGTCTGTGCAAGAACCGCTTCTTCCATTGTAGACATATTCCTGTCACAGTGATAAAGAGATTGTTGAAAGCACATGCTTTTAGCTGCTGCTCTTTGAATCTGGAATGATGCAGTCATTCTCAGTTTAAGGTAATAAACCAAAGTACATTATGATTGAAATACAAAGCGTCTTTCTTGTCTTGAAGATGCTCACTAGTTCCCAGGAGGAATTTCTGAAAGTCCTAAAGACTTTCTTGTGAGTGACTTCCTGCACAAAGTTGTGCTTCTGCTTTCCTATTTCATCTCCACCTTTTTATTCTCATCTTGTAAGTCTTGCTGTTGAGACCTATTTAGGAGAAGAAATGGCATGTAAGGTACTTACTTAATTACGGTGCAGCTTAGACTGTTGTCCTGCAAGAATGTCTGCTTATGCCCTTACTGTGAGGAGAATATTTTGTATGCCCCACACCAGTGTAATTTTTCAAATAATCGGTACAGTAATCTGAATAGGTTTGTCACTTAAACTTGCTCTTTGGGGGAGGGGGAGAATTAATTGTTATATATGTGTAATGAAATTCAAGCAACAGCTGTTAACTATGCTATTTTGAATTTTGCTGTGTAGGTGCAGCATTATTTTTAACTTGCCTGTGTCTTCCCTAGCCTCCCCTTTTGGCCCCATTTCTGGTATACATTTTAATGCTTATTACTATGATAGCATTAATTTTGTACCTCCCTGATTTCTGTGGCCATTTTTTTTTTCTTATACATAAAAAGCTCCATCTAAGTTGCAAAACTTCCTTTTAATTTACCACAACTTTGAAACATTTTTGAGGAAAAAGCAGAATTCATCATTATTTTCATATGCTGCGCTGCCCTGGGCACACTTGCTCTACTAGTATGATGTTAGATTAAGTTGGTAGCAGATTCGTTTTGTGCTGGTGGTGTGCTCTGGCTGAAGTCATCTCTGCAAGCACCTGAGGTATTCCAATCAAAAGGACATCAAGATGATTAGAAATTGGAGCAGGCAAAGCTTGGGTTTTATAGGTATCTACACTAAAGTGTGAATTCCCCATTTAGTTACTTTTGCTATAGCTCGATGGCGTAGCTCCTGCCTTAAATAACAGTATGGGGTTTTTTTGGAGTTCATAAACAGCTTGCAGAAATGTTGATCCTCTGGGCCTAGGGTCTCTGCAAATAACCTCAGCATTCTTTATCCTTGGATTAAAACCATGTGCTGAATAAACCTAGCTATTAACAATCAGCACATAATTTCCTCAACCCCACGCCTTTTCAGGTCCAGGTCCATGACTAGGCCACCCCAGATCACCTTCTCCAGTATGGTGTGGTGCCCCAGTGTACAATATGCTGGTGACATTTCACCCCCCCTTGATCTGCTGGAGCCAACCTACATGAGTAAGGTAAGTCCATTTATTTTTCAATGTTGCTTAGTTCTGTAAAGTTTTTACTGTATACCCAACGTATAATTTTTAATCAAGGGCAAAAAACTTTACAAAACCATGTGCTATTGAAAAAGGACTTGTCCTTAAACTACAGGCAGCTCAGAGATAGATGCAGTGTCACCAGCATATTTAGAAATCTTTTCCCAAGAAAAAACAGACAGTTGTTACAGACGTTGGTGACTTGGACTCTGTGTGTGTATATTCTAGTAAGAATATTTTTAGTTATTTAGGGAACTTATAGAAGGTTTCATATCAGATTTGGAGGCCACCTTTTCTAATTTCTAGTTGGTAATTGTAGGTTTTTTTGCCTCAGAAATTTACATAAGGAGCAAGTTTGTCTATGCTGTATCTGCAGGCAGTGAATTTTCTCTTGGTTAGTGCTTGTCTTTCACACGCAGTGTCTTCCACATGACTGAATTTCTTCTATGTGACACGGTTTTTGTTGTGGTGACGTACAGAAGAGCAGCAGTGTTTGTGTATTTTGGATACACTTGCAAGATTTTATTTTAAAAGGTCAGCAGTTAGAAGCACAGACCTGTAGTGTCATCTGCCCAAAACTGAGACTTCTAACACTTGGAACATAACATCTTGAATCTGTCAAGCTTTTCCAAAGTAGGGATTGCAAGGCAGAAGCATTAGCATCAGTTTGGAACATCGTTTTGTCTTAAGATTTTTAATCTTGCATTTAAACACTTGAATCTACTCATCTCACGTCTTCAAAGTAAAACTTCCTTCGAGCCTTGAAAGTTGTTTTACCAGGTTATCCCCTTCCATTTCTGTTGCTGCTTTGCCAGCCCATCTCAAGGCATGGAACTACTTTATCTGAACCTGAAGGGCTCCTTTATTCCTTTTCTCGTGGTGCAGTCTTCTGTTGTGACTCCCACAAATAGAACTTGCAAACTTTAGAGAAGCCAGTATTTATTTTAGAACTTCAGAATATATTTCACGGGGTTGTTCAGCTTTGAAAGAGTTACTCTTATTTTTAATTTCCATTTTTCTTCTTACATCTGTTTTATCTTCTGGTGTGTTCCATTTCAGATTTTTGCAAGCTTCTGATCATGTGTGTAGAGCGTTTAGGGTTACAAAAGCTCGATCCTTGTAGAGTGCTCCGTGACAGTTGTTACTGCAATACAGATGCAATACAACATCCATCTAAGCATCTCCCTATTTCTTAGTCAGATTGCCCCAAAAGTGGAAGAAATGAAAATTCATCAGGCAGTTAAAACCGAATGGTTAACCTGCAGCTCCAAAAATTTGCTCCAGATGTTAAGAGTATCTGTCTTTTCATGGAGATGTAATGCAAATACTTTATGGTATCTTTTTCAAATATCCTGAATTTCTTCCATGTACTGTGGCCTGGATATAAGAGAGTGCATTATGTTTTTAAATGTAGAAGTTGTAAATCTGAAAAATTCAGTTAAGTATGGTACGTTTTCTTCAGTGCAGTAGAAGACTCTGGGGAACTTAATTTGCTTGAAGCTTTTTTATATGTGGAAGAAAGTATTCTTTTGAGTAAAACCAGAAAGGTATTAATGTATAAAGTTGACACTTGTTAACCAGATGGTATTATGCCTGTCAATAAATACTATTAAATTTATTTTTCTTTGTAGCATTTCATCTAGATAGAAGAAATTCACCACCAAACAGCTTGACACCCTGTCTAAAGATTCGCAATATGTTTGATCCAGTTATGTAAGTAAAACCAGTTATCTGTCTGTACTTCTGTAATCTTTTGGAAGGGTCTGTTTCTTTCCTCTGAGAGGGGTTTGGAAGAAGTGAGGAAACATGAACACCTTAAGAGAAACATGGATTGTGTAAAAGAAAAAAAAAAAACAACCACAAAAAACCAAACCAAAAACCCAAACCACCAAACACCCCCCCAACTTCCTCTTTTCCTCTTAACATCCATGAGAAGACATGAATAATCTTACTGTCTGTCTTCTGTCCTTCATTGTCTTGCTTTACGTCAATTCTTGAAGAGTGTGGCATTTAGTCAAACTACTTGGAGCAATGACTGATCTTTCTCCGTTAATTACTTTTGTAAATGTTCAATTATATCAGCTGGTAGAGGAGACTCAATGTGGCCTAACAACAGACTGTAAGTTTCTGAAGTATTGTTAGGTATTCTGGTGTATTTAGACTGTTATAGAACTTGCACAGTTTGCATTTAAAAGGCTGAAATTAGATGATTTATTACTTTATGGCAGTGTGACTGCCTTGTTTTGAAGCAAATGGATTTTTGTAGTGGGATGGTTTTAAACAAATTAGTGCAGAGTACTGGCTTCTAATGCTCAGGTGCAATTCTAAAGTATGTACCATGTGTGAATAAGTAAAAAGCCTTGTTTCATGTGCCAAGAGTTAAGGAAGAATAATTTTTTTTTTTGTAGTCTTTTAAAGCTTCATCCACTCCGCTATCCTGTTATATCCCCATTGGCTGTGGACTAGATCATGTTGGGAGCTGGGAACTAACATGTAGGTTATGCCAGCTAATCCTTTCTAATATTTGAAGCCTGTTTTGTCCTGTGCAAAGAGATACAGGGACTCCAGTAACTCCTCTGAAGCAATTTATTCCCTGATGTGATTGTATAAGGGAAAAATGAAGATGCTCTGCTGTCTGATGGAGTAAAAGTGAGATGCTAATTGGGACTGAAGAATATGAGGAGTGGAAAATAAAAGCTATTGATTAGAATAGGGAATAACAGGAAGTAGGAAGGGACACCGGAGTATGGACAGAAATGATTGCAAAGTTTGGATTTATTTCTTCAGCTCTGTTTCACTTCTGTTTCTAGCCACACTTAATAATTAGTTCATTGCCTTATTAATTGGAAAGCTGTTAGCTAATTTAGCTGAGGATAGTGTTATCCCTAGCATAGAGAAGAACTCTAAAAAACTTTCTCAATGGCTTTAAGACTTAATGACTGTTGTGGGTAGAGGCCCAAATGTGGCTTTTTTCATAACTTTCAGGTTGCAGTAGGGCGAGCAAGACTGAAATTTTAGGCATTGTTCTTGAGGCAAATTGATCCTCCTGTAGGAGGAAGAAATAAAAGATGAGATTTGCAGAGAATTTTGGGCAAGATCAATGTCCTGTTGTCCTTGCTACAAAGAAGACTTCACGAATTATATTGGTTAGTCTGAGTAGTATTGAAATAAATCCATTCCTGAAGCTTCACTGTAATATTTGTTGTTATGCTGTATTGGTTACTTTATTGTTTCAAAATGTTAGCTGTTCAAAACGTCTGCTGTTAATGGAACTAGTAACTGAGATGTTATTTTTGCCAGAACAATTTTCCTTTATAGCCTATGTCTTTGCTGTAAACTTCCGTGTTTTTCAGTACTGACCCAGTCTATGCCCAGCAAGTGCATTAAAAAAATAAATAAGTTATAGACTAGGAGTTGTTCTTTTTTGGCACTTCTCTTTAGCATCATGTCCAGTCAGCTGTTTTGAACAGTGCAACTTCTAATACGTTTGTTTTTTGTAGACATTTTCTTTTGGAAGTTGACCTAGCTCCGTTACTGGGCTGCTGGATTATTGTTGTAGTGTAGTGGGATACTTCATCCAATTCTACATTGCACACCCCAGGCCATTCCTCTTCATGAGCTGTCTTGCAGAGGACTGCTGCTTAACGAAGTACTTTTTATCACACTCTTGGGTAATCCTGAAAAGAAAGAAAAGAAAAAAAAAAAAACCACAACCAAAAAAACCCAATCCCAAAACCCTCAGTACAAGACAAATTACTTTATTCAACTGCTTGTGTCAAAAGAGGAAGGAGGTTTATGTTCTTGTCCAGATCTGAAAGGGATGAATGCCTTCACTGACCACCTGAAACACAGCATGTACCAGTGATTGTGATTATATTGGCAAATATTGTTTTGATATGTGCCATGAGTGCAAGGTATGCTTAAGAAAATTAAGTTTTTAGCTGCTTTTTTAAGTCAAGCTGTTGTACACTAACAATAAATGACTAAGTACTTTTCAGCAATATGCCAGTAGCTGGTAAAAGCAGCCATCCATAATAGAGGTCTTTTCTCCTGACTCAAGAATCATCCGGGGAATATACCAGTTAATTTTTATTTATCAATGCTAACAGAGTAAGTAATCATCTTTCTACTGCCAAAAGTCAGAAAACTTACCTGGACATTGTGAACCCTCAGACCACAGCAGCAGACTTAAACTTGAGTGTATGTTCTAGGCATTTACTGTGCCAGACACAAACCTGTTTTTTTAAAATATCAGTCTTAAGCATTGTTTGGATAAACCTGTTTCAGTGTTTCTACATCTACCACTAAGTCAGTAAAAAAAAAAGTTCATAAGGCATGGGTAGCATTCCTGCAAGACTCATATTGACAGCTAATGGAACATATGTGTGCAGGATCAGGGAAGGGCAAGTCATTTGTGTTGGGAGCCTATTTCATTACGGGAGATCCAAGTTAGTTGATAATTCATGATGTTTCATGTCTCAGGTCTGCAAAACACAAAAAGCAGACTAGACTGAGAATGTGCTTCTGCTTGATTTGCAAATGGGAAATGAGCACTTGGCAGTAATGCAGTGATTTCAGTATTTGGGAGGAATACACAGCAGAAAAGATGATTGCCTACTCTTAACAATATGATCTCTTCTTATGGTAGCTGGCTTTCTGCTGATGAATGCATGCTTCTTGAGAAAATTGACATGAGTCCTGGGCTGGGAGGGAATGCACCAAAGTCAAGATTTCACAGAATGATAGAACAGTTTGGATTGGAGGGGACCTTTAAAGGTCCTGGCTTTTGCAACTTGGAATGACTTTATTTCCCTAACATCCTGAGCACAGCATGTCATAAAGAAAACACTGTTGTTTACACTGTTAGAGAAGGGGAAGAAGACGACTTGTATACTCCCTTCATTTTGAGCTATCTAGTAAAAAGAAAACACTTTTTTTCTTCCAACCTGAGTAGGGTGCATCTTCTCCTAACTTTTGCAGGGTTTTAAATTGTAGGTGTTTTCCACTGGAAAGTCTCTCTCCCAGTAGGCACTTCATTTGGATCTTCTTTGCATTCTTGTGTCCCCCTCCCACTTTTGTTTGTTTATATATGATCTGCCTGTGTAAGGGGCATCAACTGGGAAGTCTGATCCTCTAACCAGTCAAGGTCAAATGACAGAAACAAATCTGACATTCCGTGTTGCCAGAGTCCCTCAGGTGTTGTGTTAGTGTCCTGCTTGACAGATTTAAGTAATGTCCCTGACCAATTAACTTCCCTATGTACATTTATCCCCACCATGTTGTTTTTTTGTTTGTTTGTTTTTTAATGAATAAGGAGGAGGGTAGATTAAACATTTCAAGAATTTTGGCCGTATGTAGAGAAAACTCTTTAAAATTACCCAAAGCTCATGATGGTATTATTGAAAGAGTAAGTTCATTGTTTTTTGTGTAAAGACTATTCAGGCAGGCTTAAAGATGTATTAAGGCTGTTGAAATTGTTTTCCCTTGGCTTAGATTTATTGTATTAGGACCAGGTAGTTCCTGCAGTACCGTCACAAAAGTACATAGACTTCTGTCTTCTCTAATGATGCACCTAAAGGTTGTTTAGTCTTGACAGTAAAATATTTTTTGTGAAAAGCCCCCCCAGATTGGAATCTGATTTTAACAACTTCTATTTCTGGATCTAGATTGGCATGTTCTATCAGTACCCTATGGGACAAATGCAATTTGATGCTTTGTTTGGGATAGTGAATAGCTATTTCGGTGATGAGCAGTGTCTGAATAGCTAAAAAGTTCCTTCAGTCTGCTGAAGCCTGACATGTAATCTTGCTTCTGTGGCTGCTGGTAGAGGTGATGGAGCAAAGGGACAGAGGCCTTTACAGAACAACGGCCAGCCTGTCCTAGCAGCTGAGAGAAGACTAGTTCATGGCTGCTTCCAGTTTCATACAGGAAGGTGATGCCAGGCTGCTGGAAGAGGAGGACAACTCCCTCCCCCAAATACAGATGATTCCTTTTGATTCTTAGGGTTGAACTTTCTGAAGTGGACCGTAGGACCCAATTTACTGACTACTCAAAGGCTAAAGTACTAAATCTGTCCCAAAGGCATTTAACAGAAAATGTCAAGTTACAGAGAAACCAAACTAAGTGGGGAAGGATGAGATTGTTGTGAATGTTTAAAAAAATACTGTGCTTAATTAAATCTTTCATTGTTTGCCTAGGGAAATTGGTGATCACTGGCATCTAGCAATTCAAGAAGCCATCTTGGAGAAATGCAGTGATAATGATGGAATTGTTCATATTGCTGTTGACAAAAATTCACGTGAGGTGACTGTCTTTCTAGTAACATCTTAATGCTTTGTTTATCCTTGTCTGTTGGACTTCAAAAAAAAAAAACCCCAAACTTCTCTTTCTTAATGCAGGGTTGTGTATATGTCAAGTGTCTCTCTCCAGAGTATGCTGGAAAGGCTTTCAAGGCATTACATGGCTCTTGGTTTGATGGTAAGGAATGGGGGTTTATAACAAAACATGGGTAGAAATGACAGAAGATGGGTGCAGTTGGAGTTCGTTTAAATAGTGAAATGTTTTACATGTAAAGTATTGAGCTGTAACAAAAGTTGTATCTTTTTAATAGTCACCACCTGGTAAACTAATTTCAGTGTAATGATGTGTTTGTGTGTATTACGTCCTGAAGGAAAATGTAGTAATACTGAACTAGAAGGTTTCTCTTTTCCTATTTCTTTGCCTCATAGGAAAGCTGGTAACGGTAAAATACCTGCGACTAGATCGGTATCATCATCGTTTTCCCCAGGCTCTTACTTGTAACACTCCACTGAAGCCATCAAACAAACACATGAACTCTATGTCACATCTGCGTCTTCGGACAGGCACAACTAATTCTCAGGGAAGTTCCTGAGAAGACTTTCTACAACTGCTAGGACTGTTACTTGCAACAGGAATTTTCCTGTTTGGCTGCCGTCTTCCTTTTTTAGTGCTTTTTGTATGTAATACTTTAATGAATTAAATAAAAGTTTGAACGTTCCAGAAATCTTGTTTCCAAAGGGACTTAGCAATGAGGCAGTAATACTGAGCTGACAAAAAAGTAAAAGAAAAAAATTGCTTCAGGAAGTTTTCCGGGGCTATAGTAAACCAATGCATTTAAGTTTTGCATGAGGAATACCGAATTCATTATACATTTGCAGATGTGGTGACTGTATTTTTGCACCAAGAAGTGTTTTTGATAATACAAAAGCATGGAGAAAAGATGACTTCCTGTATTTCCATAGTTTCCTGTGAAATAATCTTGTGGGTATTTTGTAACAACCAACCTACAGTTCCTGATGGTGAATAAGTTAAAATTTCTTTTTCAGTCAATATTAGTTTTTTGTTGCTGTATAAGAATCTTTTTCTGCAGCTTAGGGTATGGGGGAAGTTTAATCTGGCATTAGTGGTTGCGTATAAGTGTGAGGGAAAACAAAACTGAATGCGGATGTACTAGGTTTTGTATATAAATGTAAATGCTGGTGGTGGCAAAAATGGTTGTGTTCTGTGAGGATGTCTGCATTGAAGCAGTGAATAAGCTTCCTATTTTATTCAAAACCTGATGTTTTATATGGTTTTGGCTGTACCATGACAAGAGGCCAAATACCTTAAAAGTATTAGATACAGGTTAAATATCTTTTGTAGGTTTTATATTAAAATACCTGACTATGATTTTTGTGAAAGGTCTGATACCAATTGTAATGAATTCAAATTTGTGAGCAATAAAGAAGCAATTGGCAGATACTGGAAAAATATTTTGTGAAAAGCTGTATTTATTATTACAATTGCCAGGGCTGTGACAAAATACCATTGGGATTAAGTGACTTTCCCAATACGTTATAACTTGTTTTAATGAACCAGTTACCTGTTAAAATTTTAAAAGGTACATACTTCCTTGCAACAATTTTGGCTGATGCAAACAAGAAGTACAGCTGACTAAATCTTGTCATTCCAAGCTTGTAAATTTACTAACATTTACCTAGAAGTACAAAATTGTTGCTGAGAAGCTTAGTTGCAAATCTAAGATTATTGGCTTTACTAATCCCCACTTCTACAACAATTTTATCTAATTATCCAGCTGAACATCCTGTAGGAGGTGAGACTGGAAGCACACCAGTCCCACAAATTTTACTGAAACTCACTTTACTTTGTAGATATGATGGATTTGCAGCATGAACTTGCACAAATAATGCACGTTTTTCTTATGGTTAAGTAAACATGATGCACACTATTCTGCAACAGAAAATCCTATTGTGCCTTACCTTTGTGCTTTTGTGGGCACCATGTTTATTATTGGAGAGTTTGTTAACTGAAAAATTTTAAATCCTCAGTTTTATGTCTCAGATGCTAATGAATGAGTATATATAATATATAATCAGCCATGCAGAATTCTGCTTACCAAGGACAAGTACATATTTTTGATGGGTAAGTAGATTGTGCCAGGTCTGGTAGATTTTGATGAGTTTTACTATATACATATATGTATATGTATAATATACATGTATATGTATTATATATATGTATATAAACTAATTTTGTTGTATTTGATGTGCATCATAGTGATTTGTTAACCTGACCTTAGTGACCCCATCTTGTGACCTGTTGCAAGAGTGAATGTAAAAATAGTTGTGGCATTTTAAAAGGTCGCCTCGATGCAAATGCATCTATGTTGCTTCTAAACTATATTTCTTGTAAACACTGTACATTTTATTATTGTAATATGTACTATTATGCAGCTTATTTTACCTTAAACTGTTAAGTTGACCAATATCCCTTCCTGCAAGACAGATGGGAATGTGTGTAATACCTGAACATTTGAGAAAAATCAGATGTTTGTTGTAATTTGTCACCCTGTCCTGTAAAAACAAACAAAAAAACCAAACCAAACTCGAATTAAAGGTTTATTAGGGGTTTTTATATGCGTCTCACCTTCTAGCTATTTGGCTGTCTCTTTGACTGGAATACTTTTTTCGTCAGGGGAGTGAGGGGGGAGGTTAATTAATCATGGCCACCTACCTTTTCGTGTGTGTTAGGATTTCAAGCGGAGCAGGTGCTGCTGCGCGCTCAAGTCGTACCCTGTGGAGCGTCCCTGGAGTGTCGCGTCGCGTCTGTCCCAGGGCCTGCGGCGGAGGCAGAGGTGAAGAGCCTTAGCCGTGTGTTTTCTGCTCGTTTCTTGTATTTTGAGTCCTCGAGGGGATTTTGACAGCCTAACAGACAGCAGAGGCTTTTCTTCGGTCATTACGTTCCTACTGCGCTGTTTTAAAATGGTTTCAGTGATGATTTGTGCGGAAGGGGTGGGGGGCAGGAGGACCAAGGCAGGGTCTGTGTGTCTGTTACATGCCTTTGCCCGCCTCGCTTTTGGTCCCGCCCCGGGCGGGGGGGACTTTCGCTGCAATTTTATTTTATTTTTTTAAAGATGTGCATGGTGGGCAGTAAGAGCTGCCTTAATTTCTCTGCCTGTGACGAAGCCGATCATTCACTCGGCTTCTGCCCGCCGGCCGCGGCCCGCAGCCCTCGGGGCAGCGGCTCCCGCCAGGCTGACCCCCCCCAAACCACCCCGGTGGGTGCGGGCGGCGGGGGGGCTGCCCCCCGGCAGGGGAGCCGGGGCCGTGCTCCCTCGGAACAGCAGGAGCGTTATTTGTGAGAAGGCGAGAAGCTGCTCGGCTGGCCTTTCCCCAGCGCACCCCTTCAATTGAAGGACAGCGCGCTCCGGGCCCGCCGCGGGGACGGGACGGGACGGGACGGGG